GAAATATTTATTGATTGGCTGCCAAAAATCCGGTATCTAAGTTCCACATCAGCAACCAAATAAAAATTTATAAAAAATACTAATGTACATTATAAAATTCCTAAATTAAGGAAAACATTCACATTAGTAATACATTTAATATGAAGTTTATAAGACAAGCTTCACTGCATAGTAAATACAGTAAACACTTAAATCAGTACAATTATTGATTATGCATCAACTAGAAACGTTCGGATGAATTCGGATCAAATTAATTTAAAAATCAAATAGCGTCCTTAAATATTTTATTATTAAAGTGAGGTGTGTCTCAATATACAACTTTTTGTTTATATAAGGTTCATAAAGGTTAAGAATTCTTAGGAATAAATAAAGTTGAATAATTAATTTTTCAAATTATCAAAATTTTCAAAAGATTACTTGCTAAATGTTCCTTTTCAAAGACATGATTATTCAAATTTTAACTATGTTAGAGGTTATGAGTTTTAACTATTGATTTTTAAGGTAAATGCAGTTTCTGTTAGACTACGTACCTTAAATATTCCATTTCAATAAAAAATAAGATTATTTAACTTTTAACTTTTCACCGTTGTCAATTAAAAGGTTTTAACTATTGAGTATTATAAAAATTATTGCGATTTCCCCATAAATGAAAATTCTCTCGCACTTCTTTAACGAAATTAGTTAACCCTGTAAAAGTAATTAATGTATTATTAAAGTCGTTGCGTGCAGGTCCATTAGCTAGGTATGCGAAGATCTATTACTTTAGACGTTAAGAACAAATAGAATCGTTGCAACGTAATCGTTACAAAATTGACCCATTTCTTGTGTGAATCAAATTATAACATAATCTTAAGTGAGCTTTCACACGTTACATCTTTCGTAGGCCGGTTGTTTAGCGTTATGCAACGACTCGACTGAAGAAGTGGCCAAAGCCGCCCGCCGTTTTATTTTCATTCAATCGACACGGCGATGAAGACAACTCGGTTTTCATATCATCCTTTCAAAAATTAATCTTAGAACTTTTAATATCTTAGAGAGTATATGTACTACATAATAAGCATTTACGTCTTAGTTATGCAATAATTGTAGCATAATACACAGCCCGAGATGATGAGAAACGAATGTATTGAATACTGCATAGGTACATGTGTTCAGTAATGTGTGTTAATTTTTATGTTGGCATGAATATATTTAGCTTGTAGTAATTGCCATTTCGTTTAAAACTCTCGACACGGTGCCGTTATGCTTATATCTATTGCTCAGTTAAAAAGGATAACGCGATTGAGACGATGCTCTCATTTAAGATCGATTTTTTATTTTAAAAAGACATTTGCAGCAGATAAGTTGAACGCTTTTATGTAAGTACCCTACGTAATACCCGTAAATGTAAGAACGAGTTAATATTATTTTGCATATAAATGTTTTGTTAAATATAAACTGAAATCAGAGCAAACTTTCATGCCGACAGCTTTATACGTTGGGAACCCTTTTAATATGAGAAAGAAATGTCGACACTTTTAAAAAGTCATAAAAAAAAAACAGGTTAATTTTAAGAAATCGATTTCGCGTTATCTTTGCGTCATCAACAGGTACCAATAATATTTTTGACCAATGGTTCAATGTGGTTATTATAAAACTACAAAATAGAAAATTTAATATTAATGTGACAATTTATTTAATTTTAATCCACTATAAACTGCCTCAAATTAATGAGGAAAAATTGTTGCTGCTCATGCCAGGAATCGAACCCGGGACCTTTGTTTCTTCGACTGTTTCAAATAGTAAATATGTTACAGATCTTAGCCGTATTCGCCATTTTGGGTTTGGCCTCTTGTGGTCGTCTGGATTCCAGATACCTTCCACCAGTTGGTGGTGGAGGAGCAAGAGGAGGCCTCCCCAATGCTGGAGCTAGTTTCCCATCTGCTGGAGCACCAAGTCCTCAATATGGAGCACCACAAACAGGCGCATATCAAAGTCAACCCGGAAGTTTCCAAGGTCCATCTGCTGGAGGATATCAAGGTCAAGCTGGTGGTTTCCAAGGTCAAGCTGCAGCCTATCAAGGTCAAGGAGGTGGTTTTCCTCAACAACCTCAAGTGCCCATTCTCCGATTTGAAAACAACAATGACGGAAACGGAAACTACAACTACGCTTACGAAACTGGAGATGGCATTCAAGCTCAGGAACAGGGATACTTGAAAAATGCAGGAAGTCCAAATGAAGCCGAAACCGCACAAGGTTCCTTCTCCTACACTGCCCCCGATGGACAGCAAATTTCTCTTCAATACGTCGCAGATGAAAATGGATTCCAACCTAGTGGCGCCCATTTGCCAACTCCCCCTCCAATTCCCGAGGAAATTCAAAGAGCCCTTGAACAAAATGCTGCTGAAGAAGCACAGGGTATCTACGATGACGGTCAATACAAACCTGGAGCAGATGAGCAGCAGTACAGTGGTCCACAACAGTATAACGCTCCTCAGCAACAATACGGAGCTCCACAACAACAACCCCAGCAGTACAATGCCCCGCAACCCCAGCAACAATACGGTGCTCCCTCGCAGTACAACAACCAGGCCAGCAACGGTGGATACAGGTATTAAAACGAAAACGGCAATGAATACATTTAGCGAGTATATTACCCGCACTGTATAGATATTTGTGATTGTGCTCGAATGTATAATAATCTTGTTATGAATGTTTATTTTTGTAAGTTTTGTATATCAGTGATAAATAAATCTTTTGTATAAATATTCTTCGTTTAACTATAATATGATTTTGATACGATTTTATTATCGTTCCAAAAACAATAAATGATGCATTCTATTGTATTGGCGCAAATCTTACACTATAATATACTGGTGTGAATCTTACATTATACTATAAGATTTACATTAAATTATTGTATGATAAGACGAACGTAAAGTTGTAAAAATATATGATGGTAATATAAAATACCACAAATGGCGCGGTAAACGCCATCTGTAGTACAATGCTACATTATAGGATTACATATTCTCAACAAGGTGCATTTAAATACATGGATATCTACTTGCTGAAACGAAATCCCGGCCTAGCTCACCACTACGTGATAGGCACGTTACCATAATCGAATAAATTAATTCGAAGTGGTCTAACAGTTTCATCGATCTGCGACGCGCTGATGAGATCCAACAAGATCGAAATCGCAATCCGCGTCTGGCAGTTCCGACAAAACACAGACCACTTCGAATTATTTTATTCGATTATGGTAACGAGCCCATCACGTAGTGGTGAGCTACGCCGAGACTTCGTTTCAGCAAGTAGATATCCATGTATTTAAATCGACCTTGCTGAGAATAGGTAATCCTAAAATGTAGCATTGTACTACAGATGGCGCTTACCGCACCATTTGTGGTATTTTATAAATCGTGCTGTTAAGACATACAAAATTGGTCTGTGTTCTGTCGAAACTGTCTGCGACGCGCTGATGAGATCCAACAAGATCGAAATCGCGATCCGCGTCTGGCAGTTTCGACAGAACACAGACCACCTCGAATTATTTTATTCGAATATGATGGTAAAGATAACGGACCATCAAATAACCGACAAACAATATTTTTCAAACTAACAAACTACTTCGAGCAATTATAAAAAGTCAGAATGCCAAAATCATTAAATATCCGGTCGAGATTGAGCTGGGTGTAGAACATACCCATCATATTACGACTTCTTTCATCTAGGGTATCCAGAATGGGTAGGGGGTGTTTGTAAATTCAATAAATAAAAACAACTACAAGTTAGAAAAAGATCTTTTATGTTAATTTTTAGACAAAGTTTTGGAAAATAAAGTGCCAAAGATGATGTTGTTCAATGGTTGACCCTCGTGCTGCTGGCTCTCCTCCAACCGAAAACGGAAATTAGCCGTCACGCATCTACACATCTCTCTGGAAACGGCGGCCATTTCGGTGTGGATATTGTGGTTTATGTGCCGTAGAAATCGTGGTTTGTTTGCATACACCTGTAAGGTATCCCCATAACAAATAATCAAGTGGTGTGAGATCGGAGCTTCACGGAGGGCAGTTGATGGTGCCTCGACGAGAAATCACTTTTTTCCGGGAAAGGTTGATTGATAACCGCAAGCGATTGGTTTGAGGTGTGGCAAGTGGCCCCGTCTTATTGAAACCACCTTTCCACATAACACCAGTCTCTGTTCACCAAGTATTCGCCCTCGCTAGTCTTCAACAAAAAGGAGGACCAATGATGCCTTTAGCAGACATGGAAGCTCACACATTAACTTTTGGACTAGTGGTTGTTCACAGAATGTTTGACGTTAGAAAGCGTTGAAACATTTCATTTGCAAAATTCAGTCGGAGAGAATTTTTGAACTAACTGAAGACTGTGGGATGTAAATCTTGCTTCAGAATCTTCTGTAACGATGACTTTTTAATGTCAAGTTCGTAACTGCGCTTGCGAACTAATTGAGACGGATTTTCACGCACTGACGCCATCATTTATTCAATTGTTTGTAGGATTCGAATAGGATTGTGAACTGTCACCGCTACTTTTTAATCTATACATCGAAGACGCGATCAACATCATTAAAGACAGTACAACTGTAGGGATAGATATACAGGCGCAAAAAGTTAATATGCTTACATTTGCAGATGATATAGCAGTATTAGCATCTAGCAAGGAGGAGTTAGAGATAGATAAAATGGAAGCGTTATTGACAAAACAGTACTGTATGAAAATAAATACAAGTAAAACAAAAATACTGGTATGTAAGGGAAGGAAAAGTAGGGAAAGAGCAAATATAAAGATAGGAGACGAAAAATTAGAAGAAGTGGCTGATTTTAGGTATCTAGGAAGTCAGATAAGTCAGGACGGAAGGAGTAGTAGGGATATAAAGCAGAGGATAGCGCAGAGTCGTGTCGCTTTTAATAAAAAGAAGTCACTTCTATGCTCGCGAACGTTTATTTTAGAAATTCGAAGGCTGTTAAAGGTTTATGTTTGGAGCACGGCGTTGTACGAGTGCGAAACATGAACGGTGGGCACGGAGGAAAAGAAAAGATTAGAATCGTTCGAAATGTGGTGTTACAGGCAAATGATGAGGATATCGAGGATAGAGAAGGCTAGAAATGTAGAGGTATTAGAAAGAATAGGAGAACAGAGGACTCAATGGAAATCAATAAGAAATAGGCGAGATAGCTTAGTGGGACACCTTCTCAGGCATGAAGGTCTGGTGGAAGACATATTAGAGGTAGAAACAGTAGTTAGGAGGGGTAGAGGTAGACCTAGATTAGATTACGATTCGCAAATAGTTAAGGATGTGGGTTGTTCTAGTTTTAGGGAAATGCGAAGTTTAGCTCAGGATAGTAAAGAGTGGAGGTACGTGTCCAAACAGTCCTAGGACTTACGAATTTATGATGATGATAGCACATTTAACAAATTTCATCGAACGGTCCTGCATATTATTGGCATTGTAAGTACGACCCTATAGAAAGAAGTCTGGCAGTGGTACATCCGGACTACCAAGGATGTTAACATCACTCTATGGAAAAAATTGGCGTTTTAAGTACCTTCTTACTGACATAAATCTACTCACGACAGGAAATTTTGTTTGCTGCAAGGCTTGGACTCGCTGCAAATGATATGGATGAAGCAATTGTTCCTTTAAAATTCAGCACACTGTCACATGAAAGGAGCAAACGTGGGAATTATCTTCTACAAAAGAAATAAATTAAAATATTAAAAGGTCTAGGTAATTTTCCTGCTTCGTTCTTGAATGGTTCCTTATTCCAACAATTCCCAATACCATTACAATAAAAAATTTTGGCCCTGAGAGAAGACATGACGTTGCCAACAATTATAACAATAACTCTTCTACAGCGATACACTGGCCAATGATTTTTACTGCTAATTAGCAGCTGATCGAATGCGACATTGCGTTTTCATATTTCTCTGCGTTAGTCCCGATTGGATCTTGCCTATACTTTCAAATACCTTTTTCTTTAAAATGATGAACATTTAGACCTGTATGCATTTACTTAATTTTCATGTTTTATAGTTCCCTTCAACCTCCTGCAAGCTCCACACTTACCTCAGCACCATGTATGAGTAAATATGTTATGTGGTAGAAAATAGCGTATCTAGGGAAAAAAAAAAACAACAAAAACAACAATAAACAAATCATGTATAAAATGAAAAATACTGACATTTCAATTTTGTCGAAAATAATGTTGGGAATAATCATCAACCTGCTTTTAATTGATTACTCGAACGAAGATGAGAATTTTTACTGTTGTCCGTATTATACCTGTGGATACGGTAAAACTGAACCGACCAGAAATCATACGCTATGTGACCTGGAGCCATGCAATTTTAGGGAATCTTGCCGGGATACTGTTGTAATCTTTCCCTTTAGTAAACTGGAGCAATTGGAGATAGTAAGATGGCACAATATTTTCAGAAATTATATATTTGGCTCACATCAACTTCGTTGGGAACATCCGCTTGGTGGTTGGCATGTCAAACGATATTATATTACACAAAATCCTGAAGTGTTAGCGTGGGATAATGAATTAGAATTTATCGCACAGTGTTGGGCAAATCAATGTCAAACAAGAAGAGATCCTCACTGCAAACGAACGACACTGTTTGAAAACGTTGATCAAAACATATTTATTATTAACAAAGAACACTTTCGAGGTTTCGAACAAGTTGTGGGAACATGGATAAGTGCTGTTAAAACAAAACATATCAAATATTACGGTTATGGTGGACATTTACCAAGTACAAGGATTACAAGGGATTATGCGAACGTAGCAAGTGGATATATTACCAATATAGGATGTGGAAGAACCGAGTGGGGAAGACCAGAAAGACGGGTTATTGGAATTTTTTGCAACTATGGCCAAGCACTCTACAAACAAACAACGGAAGTCAACATTAACCTCTTCATACAATATTCGTCGTCATGTGAATTCGTGAATGAAACAAAATCAGTGGGAGAAGGTTTTAATCCTTGTTATGAAAATTACAGAAGGCATCCCATTTATCATCGTTTGTGTATAGGAACATCTGTCAATAATATTTCTTACTATAACAAACTTAAACGGCCTTTCCCGTTTAAAATGACCAACGATCCTTACTATTGGGAAAAGAAAGCACAAGGGCCAATCATTGATGGAGATGATTCTGTTGCCAGTAAAATTAATTCAAGCATTTTTGTGTTTCTCCTTATTTTATACTTTTCTGTGTTGTCATAGAAAATAATACTGTAATGAAATACACTTCGGTAGATATCCTTCCATTTTCTTTAAGCCATCCGAAAAATGTGATGGTGGTAGTTCCTCAAGATAAGCATTTGCGTTAAATTTGGAAATTCGGAGAAGTCAGAATTGTAAACATTCCATTTTGTTCGTGTTTTTATGTAGTAAACATTTGGTTCTTTGTTCTAGTTGTATTCGACTTTAATGTATTTACTTGTGTAGGCAGGTATAGTTAAATATTCTTTTCTTACTATAGGTAATATAGTAATTTTAACCAAGAGATCGGACCAGATAGGTCTCAAAATATCATTAATAAATGGAAAACCCAAGTCCATAGCTACCCAGCTAGAATTTAGAGTTCGGTGCATGCCTAATTCCGCGTTATAGCATTAGGCCCTAATCACAAAAATTACGTATGCCCCCTTGAAAGCCTAATTAGGAAAACCTCATTGGGGCAACATTAGGCTGTAATTAGATTTGCTTTCTCATTAGGCCTTTG